CATCTTAACTGCGTTTAACATACATAATTGTTAACTAGTTGTAAATTTGATAACTAGATAACTGGAAGGATAAAAAGTGAACTCTAAGATATTCATGCAGGTGACAACTGCCAGAAACAGCTACTAGCCTTGGGACTGAGGCAGCTAGAATTCTTAAAACTCAGTAACTAGAGGGGAGCACCCCCCCCCCCGCCCTCACGCTGGGACCCAGACACCTGAGAAGGAGTCAGCTTCCAGTTGATGCAGGTGTCTGGGAAGGCTCGAGATAAAGATGGCTTTTCCAAGTGTTGTTAAAATTTTATACTCAAACTTCTCATGAGGAGGAAGGATTTGTTATTCTCAGGGTAAAAAATCCTACCTGGAGAGATGCTCACATAATCAGCAAGCAAACAGGACGCAAAGAGTAAGGAGCGGGTTCCTTTTTCCTTTCAGCCTTCTGCTCTCCCTCTGGCGCCCCCTATTGGCAGAGCTCAACAAAGACTCAGCCGGTAAATCAGAAATGCCATTGCAGAGTCCCAGCTCCACCATCATAAAGCCAAAATATTGAAGGAAAGGGTTATTGCTCAGAGACAACAACTTAATAATGGGTGCATTTTTCTAGTTAACCATGTGTCAGAGAATTTTGGTCTCTTCTTGTCAACCAGTCTGTCATCAGTCATTGCTTACAAAATGCTGTTTATTATAGTGTGCCATGCTTCCTCTAAGGGCTGAGAATATATAGATAAGTAAGAGAGAGTCTTCTCCTTCAAGGAGCTTGTAGTATGGTGTAGGATATAGAAAAGAAAGAAAATATATTACAATATAGTATGACAAGTGAATCAATAGAAAAAAAGCCTTAGCACGTAGGAGAACATAATTCTATTTGAGAGAGAAACAAGGAGAAGACTTCCTGGAGAAAGTGACTGTGGTGGAGCTTTAAAAGATGAATTGGAGTTAGCCTATAGAAGGGGGAGGACAAAGAATGTTCGGCGAGGCATTGCAGAACAGGATTGACATATCAGAGCCATGGGGGCATGAACTATCATAGAATAGAAGAAAACTATCATAGAATAGAATTTGATTATGACTGGAATAACAAATGGAATAAAACTCTGAAACATGAAGCTGGAGTGATAAGCATAGGCCAGTTGCATGGCAAATCACTACCGTTCTAACTGGGATAAAGTCTTAACACTTTTGAATGATCTTTGACGTCTCCTCCCCCAACACCAGAGTGCTCACTCCACGAAGCTGAATGATTCAACCTTCCCATGGCATTTTGTAAACCACACATTTCCATTTCCTCTACCATCAATTGTAGTTCAGGATCTATCTTTATTCTCGTGTGGTCTGTTGAGATGACCTCTTCACTGCGTGACTACCTGTTGTCATTCCCGTTCAACGCAGCCTTTATACGACTGCTGGATCTGTCTTCCTAAAAGCAGCTTTGGATGCCATTTCTATGGTAACTTCATTTGTATCATGTGTTATGTCTAACCCAGTGATTTTCATGTGCATAATTTGATGTAATTCTTACAGAAATGCTGGGACGTTATACACTATAAGGTTATTAACTGAAGTTTACAACGTGAAATGGAAACTAGAGAGCACAGGTCAGTTTTGCCCAAGGTCATCTAATCAGGTGGTTGTAGGCCTAGACCTACAACCTAGCTCCTTGCACTACAGGTATCAGGTATTTTGGATTTTGGATTTAAATCAGTATTCTTATTATTCCTCATAAGGTGAGGGTGGCAGTTTTGTAATCTGAAGTTGCTATGGGAAATGAATTGAGTTACAGGATTTTGCTTTGGTTGTTTTTGAAGACAAACACCGAGAACTGTTGCAGGGAATAGAGGGATAGTTTTTTTAAGGTTATACTACAGTAAGAAAACATAAGTATGAATCTTTTAAAATACATGGTTCATAGTTTTAATACTCATTTTTGTTTTCTTCTTAGTGTTAAGGTACCTTAAATTAACTCAAAGGGCATTCATTATTGAAGTATCTCCTAAATGAGTTTAAGCATAGAATAACCATTTGGCTATTCAGAGAGAACTGAAAATGTGATTTCCCTAAACAGACTGTTTAGGAGGAGACACTTCCAGTTAAATGAACAGTTGAAGCCTAAATCTTAAATAAATTAGGAATAATTGTGATCTACTTAAACTCTTCTGTTCAAAGTTTATTCAGACCTGAAGATATTCTATTTCTTAACACCACAGATGGAGCACTTACCTCAACATAAGGTTAATTTTTTGATTATTCAATAGGGGTAAGAAATACTTAACCAGGCTGCATCCTTTAATTGTTTTGGTGGATAAACTTGAAGCTAACATAATATTTAATCTCTCACATAGCACAGATTTTTAAAATTCATGCTTTCGGGCAATTTTTAAAAGAATGTCACAACCACAGCTACACCTCAATGTGGGAATTCATGAGAGTTTAATAAAAATTAATTGAATTGTCATAGAAGGGTTGAAGCCAGACAAAATAGACAATTTTATTTCCCCATAGAAGTTTATGCTTGTTTGCTGTATTATGTTCCTTGCAAACACCTTTTAAAAACTCACTGAGAGGAGTCCTTGGCTGTGAGCCCTGTGGTCCTCATTAGAATGGATCCCTCCCAATGACACACCTGGTACCTAGTATCTGCAGCAAGTACAAAGGCCAAACCCTGCAAACCGACACTGAGTGCAGAATCTGGCCCACGCATGGTAGCAAGGAATAATGAGGTGGGTTGCCGAAACATAATTGCAGGTCACTGAGAGGTATCTAGGAAGCCTCTATAGTCTCCAGCAGGAGGCTTGTCATTGCTTATGCTTAGGTCATTGTGATTTATCAACTTGAGGATCATCAAATTCCCAAAGCCAGAGATTTTTAAATATCCTGCCTTTTTGTGAGAGGTACTGTCATTTACTTTGCCTTAATAACCTTTTCCATTTTGATGGTTAATCTGATATGGCAGCATGTGACTATCCTGGCATCTGAAGAGCATGTTCATTAAATACTCCTAACGGCCTGGAAAATTCTGCCTTATCCATCAGTCTCTCTCAACTACAGAGCAGAAGCTGAGTAGGAGAGGGTCATTTCTTGGGTATATTCTTCCCCAACCTAGAATACTACCCTAGTAGGTTAAAAAGAGTTAATAGAGATGAGGCAAAAGTGCAGAAAGCCATGGAATTACACGTCTTTTGGCCATTTGTTCAAAGAGATTATTGAATTTACGGGGCTCAGATACTGGGAATACAGAAGTAGATCAACCACGATGCATCAGGAGCTTCCCCTTCTGATTAGGTCTGCAGCTAACCAGATCTTTGTTTAATTTTTTAAACATTTTTTTTTATTTTTTGCATCATGACTTTACATCCAGGTAAGCAAATAACTGTTCCAAATGAAATATCAAATATTTGGGGCCATATTAACAACTGACAATTCCGTTTCTCTTGCTTAGATGTTTAATGCTCTATATATTGAGTACCAAAACAGTATGCATTGTCCTTAGTTTTTATATTAGTCAAATCTACAGATGGGACTGAAGAATCCCTTTCTCAGGCATTTGAAAGGGTTTTTTGAGCATACTCTGAATTTTACTAGGTCTTGGAGAAGACATCTAAAAGGAATTTGAGGGGCACCTGGGTGGCTCAGTTGGTTAAGCGACTGCCATCAGCTCAGGTCATGATCCCGGAGTCCTGGGATCGAGTCCCGCATCGGGCTCCCTGCTCAGTAGCAGGGAGTCTGCTTCTCCCTCCGACCCTTCCCCCTCTCATGCTCTCTCTCTATCTCATCCTCTCTCAAATAAATAAATAAAATCTTTAAAATAAAAGAAAAGGAATTTGATTTTTGCCCTTCAAAGATCTCTAGAACAAATTCATATAATTTGTCATGTTATTTTCATTTATTTGCATTTAGTTCTATCTTCTCGACTCAGCCATGAGTTCCTTTAGAGAAGGAATGTGTACCTCTACCCCTGGTGCAAGGTGTGGTGTATATTAAGTGCTCAATAAAAAGTTTATTGATGGATACAAGAAAGAACAGCCCTTGCTTTGCAGGGTAATGACTTAATTAAAGAAGAGAAAATTCAGATGAGGAGAAAATGCATGACATGCAGGATGTGAATTTAAAACATTTTTTTAAATATCCTGGAAACAGATGCAAAATAACATTGTGCAAGTAAAAGAGAATTAGAACCGTGGGCTTCTCTTTGTCATTCCTCATCCTTCGGTGTGCTAGCCAGGATTTTTTCACACAAAGATCTTGTGGTTCTAGGAGCAGTAACAGGGTCACTCTCAATGTGCAAACACTTTTCAAGGCTCTGCATTCCTCATACATGACCAGTGAGAGTCATATAGCCAAGTTCAGAGTGAGTTTGAGAGCACATTAGCAATAGACGTGGGTACAGGGAGACAAACAAATTGGAATACTTACTGCAACCCAGCTACTATGGAAGGGTAAGAATTCCCAATAATATCAACTTCTAATAATTCCGTGTAGTATAATTTCCAGTTGTGCAAAAAATAAAATTGTGCAATATAATGCATATGCATATGCACACACTTACACACATATTCATAAACATACAAAGATCCACACATTTTTAATGTGTTAATAGTACTTATATATATGCTTCTGATTTTTTTAAAATTTTTAAATAATGTATGTGTTTCTACATATTGCATGTGCAATTTTTTTAAGGAAAAATTCTAAGGTAATACAATAAGATGTAATTATGGGTGGTGTTGCATTGTTTAAATGTATTTATTCCTTCTGTGTTTTCCATGTTTTCTGTGAAATATATTCCTTCTATATGATTAGCCAAATATATTAAAAAATACACTTAAAAAAAATGATCCTGAGTCAGGCCTCTTGTATACTCTTCCATCTGGTCTTCAATATGCCCCTTCAGAAAGGGGCAGTGGAATTAATAACAAATTTTTCTGAAAAGCAATTTCTTATTCTACGTGCAAACCTTCTTTTCAAGCATACAGCTATCCCTGATTGCCTTCCTGGTCTCCTTTCAGACGTTCTGCTGGTATTGAAGAGGAGTCCCTTTTGTTTGTCTGGTCAGAAGGAGCCCTTGAATTCACTGATGCTTCAGATACTCTGAGGCCTTTCACACTCTACGAATACCGAGTCAGAGCCCACAACTCCAGGGGCTCAGTGGAGAGTCTGTGGTCATCAGCACGAACCCTGGAAGCCCCACCTCAATCTCTGCTGGCACCTTGGGCACAAGCCACCAGTGCTCATTCAGTTCTGCTGAACTGGACAAAGCCAGAATTGCCCAACGGCATTATCTCCCAGTACCATGTGGTCTACCAAGAGAGACTGGATGATCCAACATTTAACGTCTCTACTGTGCATGCTTTCACTGTGATGGTAAGAACTTAGGAAAAAAGAGTAACAGATGCTTAGAGTATCTGGTTAATATGTTGAAATTGATTTTTTATCCAGCTTATCATTTTTCTTCAGTTAGAGCTTAAATACATTAAAATCTTTCACATGTGAAAAAGAGCAATGTAGTCATGGGGAAGGTATTGAACTGAGTATAAGGGACATTGGAGACCAGTTTGCAGGCCACAATTAATTTGTATTACCTCAAGCAAATAAGTGACTCTCTCCTGGTGTGATTTCCAAATCCATTAAATGGGGATACTAAATGTGTCTCTGTATACTTAATGGGTATGAAGCATAGATAAAATTAGACAGATACAGATTCAGATCAGATATGGATATAGACAGATGTGATATTATTGGCTCTTTGAGAAAAAAATTAAGTTAAATTTCTAGATCTATCTATCTGGATGATATAGATATCACATGCACTAAAACTTAGTGGTGATTTTTTTTTCCGGGTTGATCACCTCTGGCCCATAATACAATTTAATTGAGTTCACTACTATCTTCTGAGAGCTTTCTGTTCACCTGGCATAGGCTGATGTTCTATGGGAGATACATAAACAGGATGGTTCTTGTATCATGGAGCTTTCTCTTTTATCATACTGCAGAGATGAGAATTGAACATAAGAAAAAAGTAAGAGAGGGGCGCCTGGGTGGCTCAGTTGGTTAAGCGACTGCCTTCGGCTCAGGTCATGATCCTGGAGTCCCGGGATCGAGTCCCGCATCGGGCTCCCTGCTCAGCAGGGAGTCTGCTTCTCCCTCTGACCCTCTTCCCTCTCGTGCTCTCTGTCTCTCATTCTCTCTCTCTCAAATAAACAAATAAAATCTTTAAAAAAAAAAACCAATCTCTCCATAAAAAAAAAAGAAAAAGAAAAAAGTAAGAGAAGTAGCGAATTATAGCCTATAATTTCCACCACATGGTGATTCAGATCCCAAATTCCACCATCTACCAGCTGTAAACCACAATACAAGAGAGAATATCATCTACCAAAAGTGTTAGCTAAGAAATGCTCTGAGATGTCAGCAGGAAACCCTCAAACTGAAGAGGCTTCATGGAGAAGATGAAATTTGTGGTCTTAGCAGTTAAATACATACAGTTTTTAAGATGTGCCAAGACCTTGCTAAATATGAAAATCCCTCACAATAAGAAAAAATAAACAGCATAAAGCATTATTTTCAAAGAGCAAACCATGTTTCTATGCTACCAATCTAGGCACCCGAATATACCTGAAGGTTATCTTATAAAGTATAACATTTATCAAAATATCTAAATAATACTGAGCAAACATATTGTAATGAAACTCTGAAAGAATAGTTGTAAATGAATAGTTTAAAGTACAGTATTTTCTCCCTGTCCTTATGTTCAATTTTTTCATATGACTAAAAAATAAGCAGTCTGTGAATTAAAGAGATAATGTTAATCTTTATTTTATTTAGAATTCGGAATTGGTACTTTATTTTTTATGTTACATGTAATTATCTTTCATATTACATCCTCCTAGAGCCTTCATTATAAACCTTAGAAGAGGTGTTCTTAAGTGCAGAAGATCGTTTTTAGTTGATATGTGATCCATAGAGAAATCTATAACTTCTCACCATATCCTTGGAATTCATGTTCTAAACTTCCACCTGAAAGCAGAATCCTAAAAAATAAAGTAAAAATCCTGAAAAACCCTTGACAAGGGCTTTCTGAATGACATACTTTAAATATATTTTTATTAAAGGCACTAATATTGCAATAATTAAACCTCTGATTTTAAAGAATGGCTTTCAGAGGCCTGAGCCCAAACATTTAATTTCCTAAAACAACTTTGTTGGAATTCTCTTGTGGAATAGCCTCTACATCATTCCTTCATAGGTAGTTTCATCTCACAACACAAGATTTAAAGTATACAATGAGCTCTGTCCTGTATTTAATCTGCCAGGTTCTGTTTTTATCACACTAAAAAGTTCCTAAAAGAGAGGAAGGCCTCTGGCCCCAAAATTTAAGCATCACATGGCCCTTTATCCATGCGCCCTGCCAGTACAGTTCCCACCTGGCAGCCCAGTGTTGCTGTGCTCTTCCATTTTCTGAAGACTGATCCTTGTGCAATGCTAAAGAGAATAGCCAGAATGATCAGGAAACACTAATATTTCTGCACCCAATTTTTTTGTTTGCATCTGTGTGCATGTTCAGAGTGCCCCCACCCCCACCCATCTGGATCTCTGTCCCTGAGAACCCAAGAAAATATTAGGGTCATTAGGAAAGGCCCCACTTGAGCTTGTTAAGCCATCAAGGACATCTTCCATAGAGCAGTCGGGCCAGTGTTCAGACATTGTGGTTAGTAGGCCAGATTTCCAGGACAGGAAACTACTATGACTCTTTATGGGCTGACATCTTTGAAAGAAAAGAATCAGAAAAATAAACTATTGTCTTTGAGCTTCACACATTCCTATATCCCAAGAGAATGTGTTTGAGCCTTTAAAAAAAAAAAAGATATTTAAAGAAGGGGGTTCTACCATGTAATTCCAATTCCTCGCCATCAGAGAAGAATGTTTCTTTATGCTACCCAAATCCTTCCTCCTGTCACTTAAGTCCATCCCTTCCTGTTCAGAACAGCATGACTTCTCTAAGCCAGTGCAATGAACCTTCAGGGTCAAGAACAGATTATTGACAATTCAATCCAATTTGGCAAGTAGTCATTGAGCACTGTATTCAGTATGCCAATACCCAATACTACAGTCAACTGTATTGTTGAAGGCTACCATGAGACTGGGCCCTTGGGCAGAGCAGAGTCTGAAGGGGAAGTTGAGTAATCAAGTCTGAGGCATACTTTATTACTGCTGGGCATTTCAGATTTCTAAGTTTCTTTGCTTCGGAGTTTCTGCTGCTCAAGTTCTAATGATTCCCTTTCAAGTCTCTCTCTCTGAGTGTCTTCCTGGCTCTACTTAGTTTTTCTCTAATTCCTATACTAGCTAAACATTTTTACTGTCTTCTTCCATGTCTGTGCCTGCCCTAGGGAATATTTCGAGCTTTTGTTTCACTGACCACTCTGGCTAAAAATTCTCCAGAGCAACGGAACTACATTTTCAATTGGTGAGGCACAGAATCCATCCTCACAATTGAAGGATTGCAGTTTAATCCACAGACTTGCAAGAGGTATCACTAAACAGTCTCATTTAGTCTCTTGTTTATTGGGATCCTATCTCTGCATGAAGGGCCACCAATAAATTCCCTATAATGTGGTGCCATCCCTGGCTTGTCCCAACATCCCCCCAGAGTTGTTTATAGACAGGTGGACGTTGCTGGGAGAGCCACATAAAACAGGTGCAATGGATGCATGAATCCTCTCGATGGTGGCAATGGATGGAGAAATGGCAATGGGGGCCCTCCATGGGGGCGGAGAGCATATGTGTTGGCAGCAGCAGCAGCAGCAGAGGCAGCAGGAGGTGAGAAATGGAAGGAGCGTGGGCTTTAATGTATCACCAGCTTCTCTCCCAATTTCATGAAAAGTTTCATCTCCCAAGTAGGTTCTTCTAAGGGGAAGAGAGAGATACCTAGATGCCTAGGGTCTCTTCAGACCAACACTCTCCACTACTGAAAACAAGCTCTAAGTAGAAGTCCTTAAACTCCCTTCCCAGTTAGCTCTGTGATGAATTGTGCAGTGTCAGGAGAGAAAGTGTATTTAGCCTTGCTTGGCATGCAAGAGTTCCATGGTGGTATTTACAGGGAACACTCCTGGCGAGCTTGGCGATACTGCTGCCACCATTCAGATTTGTTTGCTTTTTCTCACTGGCACCTGCCATCGCACTGGCAGAAATAACTTGGGATTTAAAGGCAAAGGTGGTTTACCTGTTAGTCTGTGCTCTCAGTATATCCCTGCTTACCCCACAGGGTTATGAAACATCAAGCCCAGATCATACATTTGCCCAGTACCCTGAAAGATAGATGGTACTTCACTCTCTGGGTAGAATCAAGCATACGGTGCTGAGGGGTAAGCAAATTATATGGGTCACTAAAAGTTGGCTTCTAATCTGGAAATAAAATCCAGAATTACAAACTCTAGTTTCTAGATTTTAGTTGCCAAACTCTCTTGCCCAAAGTCAAGGAAGAAGTATTCAAAATTTTCTCTTGTGGTTGTCTCAAATCTCTTCACCATTAAGTAGATCTGTGGGGGGAAATGAGATGCTTCATAATTGCCGTATCGTGGAGAGTTTGTGAGTAAACTGATTAATTTGTTTTTAATCCCATTTTTATTTTGGTTTAGTATAATGTAAAATTTTGCTCTTTACATATGATCTTAATTAATTGTAGCTCTTAAAATTTGATGGCTCTTAGGCTTTTCTCCCCTTATTTACAAAACAATAGAAATGCACTAGGAGATCTAGGTATCTGTAAGGACTCCTTCAGTGACTATCTTTCCAAAATGAAGAAAAATTTGGTAATAAGAACAATTACTGTACTTTTTATATCAGTTCTACGAGCTGAGATTTTCACATTTTATAATGTAACTGTGTTACTCATTCTTTATATAAAATCATAAAATAGAGGTAGATAAATGTCACACAAAACAATGACCACTTATTAGTGTGACCCATTTTGTTGTATTGTAATGATGTCTTTGGTCTGACATTAACTTTTCATTCATTAGCCTTGCATTACCTTTATCCCATTTTTCTAATATGGTACCAATCACAAATATGTATCAGGGATCTGCTTTGTGCTCAATATTACTGGAGATGCAAACCACATAAGTCTTCTTGAACTTCATATAAGTACTTTTTTAGAGAGAACTTTATTTTTCTCAAACCACTTTATTCCAACAAGCTTCCTCCGGGACTCCCTTGCTCAATCATCACTGATTTCCAGGGCAGGTCCTGTGGTTTTCCAGCCACATTCAGTGACAAGAACCAGCCCAGTTTTGGTAATCAGGATTCATTTCATTTTGAGTGTTTAAAAAAAAAAAAATCTAGTCTAAAGCCTGACTTGTGTTCAAAGA